AAAATAAAATAAAGGGAAAAAAAGAAAAAAGAAAAGAAAAGATCAAAGAAAATGAAACAAAATAAATGTAAATAAAATGTTAATAAAAAGAATAAAATAAAAGGAAAGGAAAGAAAAGAAAAGAAAATAGGAAAGAAAATGAAAGAAAATAAATAAAATAAAATAAAATAAATGTAAATAAAATAAAATGTAAATAAAAATTATAAAATAAAATAAAATGAAAGAAAAGAAAATAGGAAAAAATGATATAAAATAAATAAAATAAAATACATTTAAATAAAATAAAATGTAAATAAATAAAATAAAATAAAAGGAAAGGAATGAAAGGAAAATAGGAAAGAAAATGAAATAAAATTAATAAAATAAAATATGTTTTAATAATATAAAATAAAAGGAAAAGAATGGAAGGAAAATAGGAAAGAAAATGAAATAAAATGAATAAAATAAAATAATTTTTAATAATATAAAATAAAATAAAAGGAAAAGAATGGAAGGAAAATAGGAAAGAAAATGGAATAAAATGATTAAAATAAAATATTTTTTATAATATAAAAATAAAATAAAATAAAATAAAATAGAAAAGGAAATAAAAGGATATAAAATCAAATAAATTTAAATAAAATAATTATAATATTTAATTAAATAATTTGCTTGATGCTATTAGCAGGTTTGGCATGCTATTCCGGGAGGGAGCCCTGAGCTCGGAGATAATTGATCCCAGGGCTCCTGGCTAGTTAATTAGCATGTAAGGGGGTCTGAGATCAGGTAGGTCTTGAGAGCTCCCCCTAGTAAAGGAGGAAAGGGGGAGATGGGGTGGATGGGGGGATTCTTAAAGCAAAGATAAGGCAGTAGGGTGAAACCGGTCTATTTATTGTAGGCTTGGATCACTCTGAATGGATTATTGCTGATTACTGAAGGTAGACCAGCCATGATAATACATATCACATGCTCCTCTCCAGATAAATGTATGAGTTTAATGTCTTACCGTTGTACAGTCGTGTGTGTGAACTGCAAAATCCCCACTTCTGATCACGGTCAAAGTTGTGTGTGAGCGAACACCTACACAAATCATACAAACACACACAAAAACATTCATCAAATCAATGATCAAATGAATATGTATTGGTTATATTAACTTAAAAGGGACAGTTCCCCCCAAAAAATCAAACGATTTGTTCAAAAATGCTGATTCATTTATGAATGGTTAATAAGGGGTAATTGTCGAGGGATTCAATGAATCATTATCAGTCGTTTAAATGTCAGTGTTAGATGTAAATTTGATGTCGTTTCAACATCAAGGTCATCATTTCACAGTTTAGATTTTTTTTTTTTTTTTTGACGTCAATGTTAGATGTAAACTTGGTGTTGGTTTACATCAAGGTAGTCAATTGACAAAATCAGTTGGTATTGTTGACGTATTTTTAACATTTTTGACATATTTTTGGTGTGTTTTTGACGTGTTTTTGACATATTTTTGGTGTTTTTTTACATATTTGTGACGTCAGTGTTAGATGTAAATTTCATGTAAAATCATTTCATATTTTTGACATATTTTTAACATGTTTTTGACATATTTTTGACATATTTTAGACATGTTTTTGACGTGTTTTTGACATATTTTTGTTGTGTTTTTGACATGTTTGTGACGTCAGTGTTAGATGTAAATTTCATGTAAAATCAATTCATATTTTTGACATTTTAACATTTTTGACGTATTTTAGACGTATTTTAGACATGTTTTTGACGTGTTTTGACATTTTTGACATTTTCAACGTATTTTTGATGTATTTTAGACATATTTTTAACGTGTTTTTTACATATGTTTGACATATTTTTGACATGTTTGTGACGTCAGTGTTAGATGTAAATTTGATGTAAAATCAATTAATATTTTTGACGTATTTTTAACATATTTTTGACGTATTTTTGATGTATTTTAGACACATTTTTGACGTGTTTTTGACACATTTTTAACATATTTTTGACATATTTTTTCATATTTTTGACATTTTAGACATATTTTTTTACGTGTTTTTGACATATTTTACACATATTTTTGACGCATTTTTTTTACATATTTTAGATATATTTTTCATGTGTTTGTGGCATATTTTTGACATTTTTGACACATTTTTATACACATTTTAGACATTTTTTTAGCGAGTTTTTGACATATTTTTGACATTTTTTAACGTATTTTTTATGCATTTTAGACATTCTTTTGACGTGTTTTTGACGTATTTTTGATGTATTTTAGACATATTTTTAACGTGTTTTTTACATATGTTTGACATATTTTTTGACATGTTTGTGACGTCAGTGTTAGATGTAAATTTGATGTAAAATCAATTAATATTTTTGACGTATTTTTAACATATTTTTGACGTATTTTTGATGTATTTTAGACACATTTTTGACGTGTTTTTGACACATTTTTAACATATTTTTGACATATTTTTTCATATTTTTGACATTTTAGACATATTTTTTTACGTGTTTTTGACATATTTTACACATATTTTTGACGCATTTTTTTTACATATTTTAGACATATTTTTAACGTGTTTTTGACATATTTTTGACATTTTTGACACATTTTTAAACACATTTTAGACATATTTTTAACGAGTTTTTGACATATTTTTGACATTTTTTAACGTATTTTTGATGCATTTTAGACATACTTTTGACGTGTTTTTGACATATTTTTGGTGTGTTTTTTGACATGTTTGTGACGTCAGTGTTAGATGTCAATTTGATGCAAAATCAATTAATATTTTTAACATATTTTTGACATATTTTTTTCGTATTTCAGACACATTTTTGACATGTTTGTGACGTCAGTGTTAGATGTAAATTTGATGTTTTGATATCAAGGTAATCAATAGACAACAAATCTATTAGCATTTTTATGTGTTTTTAACATCAATTTTGGATGTTAATTTGATGTAGATTCAACATCAACGTTGTCATTTCCCATTTTTGATCTTTTTAAGTCAATTTTAGATGTCAGTTTGATGTCATTTGGATATAAAATCCATTTTTGACGTCAATGTTAGATGTCAATTTGATGTCGTTTTCACTGGGTAGCTAAAATAAGAATTAAATTAGTCCTTAAACTAAAGTGTTATCTTTTTGCCACAATCAAAAATTCCTAAATGTCAGTAAGTAAATAACAAATTCCTATATGCCAATAAGTAAGTTATGAAAGATTCTCAATTTTTGGTAGCGGATCCAGTTGAAACCAGAGTCTCTCAGCAGTGGTCATAAGCAAACCCTCAGGTGTGTTTTTACAGTGAGAGTTGCTCCATATGGAGATCTGCACACACTTGTTCACATTAAAAACCGCACCGCCGCTTGATCTCTCATCGCTGCCCTGATAAAAGTCACTCATGCTCACTGTTTATAAGTGTTTATGAAATCGGAGTGCAGAGTCAGTCGTCCACACACACACACACACACACACACACACACACACACTGGGTTAAATCTGCAGGTCAATGGGTTTGGTGGAAGTTACTCAAGGAACATAAGTTACATCAGAATTAATGGCTGTGTGGTAAGATGTGTTGCAGTGAGGTTTAACTCATTAAGGATGTGGTTTGGATTCTTTTATGCGGTTTTAAAGGGATAGTTCACACAAAAATGAAAATCTCCTGTACTTTACACACCCACAGGTCATCCAATGTGTAGGTGACTTTCTTTCTCCAGTAGAAGATTTTAAACTGAATCCGTGGCGCTTGATGATTCATACAATGGCAGTAAATGGTGACAGGTTTATAGATTTAAAATATTACATATACACATGTGGATAACTCATCATAAATTGTTCAATTTGAATCTCTTCACATCTCAAATTTGTGTATGTATGTCTCGACACTGTCAATGTTAATCTCAGGTGAAAGAATCTGTGGTTCTCAAATGAAGGAAAAAAGTTCCCCGTTTACAGGTTGTAATTACGAGGACGTGAACTCTATTTACACGTTGGAATCTCGTAATTACTGACATTATGAGCTGCTGTGAATGCAGCTCTCAGCTTAAAGAAGTAAACCAGCCTAAACCAAATATTTATGCCAAACCTAGACTCATATTCAGCCCCAATCCACCTGACTTCGGCTCTGTACTTCTGACTACTATAGTCAGGGTTCCTATACCTTTCCTAAGTCACATCTAAGTATTTTTAAGCACTTTCCAGGTGCATCTTCAAACTATTCCAGCACTTTTCTAGTAATTATGGAAAGGTACATATTTATATATGACATCACATTATATCCAATGGTATTTGTTACAGTATTCTGTACGACCGTTTAATATTCTAGATAAATTTCAGATAAAATATTTACCACAAGCACAACATTGAAAAACTCACTCATTTAATCTCCTAATTGCAACTGTAGAATCACCACAACAGATCAATTACTACAGTTGTTGTGTTACCATAGCAACTATAGAATCACCACAACAGATCAATTACTACAGTTGTTGTGTTCCCATAGCGACTGTAGAATCAACTCAAAAGATCAATTACTATAGTTGTTGTGTTACCATAGCAACTGTAGAATCAGCACAACAAATCAATTACTATAGTTGCTGTTTTACCATAGCGACTGTAGAATCACCACAACAGATCAGTTACTATAGTTGTTTTGTTACCATAGCGACTTTATAATCACCTCAACAGATCAATAACTGCAGTCGTTTTGTTACTATAGTGAGTTTAGAATCACCACAACAGAACATTTACTATAGTTGTTGAGTTACCATAGCGACTGTAGAATCACCACAACAAATCAGTTACTTATAGTTGTTTTGTTACCATAGCGATTGTATAATCACCTCAACAGATCAATTACTGCAGTCGTTTTGTTACCATAGAGACTGTAGAATCACCACAACAGATCAATACTATTGTTGTGTTACAATAGCAACTGTAGAATCACCTCAACAGATCAGTTACTATAGTTGTTTTGTTACCATAGCGACTTTATAATCACCTCAACAGATCAATTACTGCAGTAGTTTTGTTACCATAGAGACTGTAGAATCACCTCAACAGATCAATTACTATAGTTGTTTTGTTACCCTAGCAACTATAGAATCACCCCAACAGATTAATTATTACAGTTGTTTTGTTACCATAGCAACTGTAGAATCACCACAATGGATTAATTAATTAAAGTACTTGACTACAATATGGATCAAACACACTGCAGTATTTTACTATGAATTGCTATAGTATTTTTCATGTAAGTGGTTAAGATCTGATTGTATTTCCTTTTGTGGTTTGTTGAGTCACACAAAGAGACGATGATGACAGGTGAACACTATTATTAGTAGTAACCGAAAACATCAAATTAGCCAAACTATTTACTAAACAAATACATTCTCCGCATGCAGATTCCTGCATCTGGATACAGTTTAGAGACCGAGAGCGAGCTTCTGAACTTCAGCATAACATTGTTGACTAGACTAAGGTAAAAATACAGGGTTTAATGTTTATTTCTCTGTGATTAAAATAAAAAGTCTCATCGAATGTGTGCAAACAGTGCACATGTGTGTGTTTTTGTGCATGTGTTTCATACCAGGCCTTGTTGGAGTTCACAGAGATGCACTGGTTATAAATCTTCCCTCCAGAGCGAAAAGGAAACTTGCATTCTTTGCCATCTGTTGTGAAAACTAAACACACACACACACACACACACACACGCACGCACGCACACACACACACACACACACACACACACACACACACACACACACACGTTTGTTATCTACAAATTGCAAACAGAAACTGTGAGCTGAAAGCAATTGAAGAAGAGTTCATACCTTTCTGAGTAACAGCCTTGGACTGTCCGGAAAGTAATATTTTAATACCAGGAGGCTGCTTGCGCTTTAAAGAGAGAGAGAGAAAGAGAGAGAGAGTATATATATTAATTATATGATATATTAAATAATATGATATTATCACGATCACCAGCGATCTTCCCACTATAGATCGCTGGAAACATTCACATTCACACAAACTACAATCCTGCCTCATAATAAACTACAAATCCCGTCATGCAACACACACACACACCTGCTCAGAGTCTCTACTGATAAGACACTCAAAGCTAAATCTACTCACGGACTGATTCATGGACTATACATTATGCACAGTAACACACAGTTTTGTGTCCTGTATGTGAACATTACAATGGGTTTTCCCTTGCCTTGATTTCTGTGATAAACCTTGCTTTGTTTTGTTTGTTTATTCCTGTATGCGGCATGCCTTCTGACCACTTGCCTGCTATTTCGACTACGACTCTGAATTTCCATTTAGATCTGTTTTGATCTGTGTATTGACCACTGCTTGCCTGACCATCCTGCTTAATAAAGACCTGCATAAGGATGCTCAAGCATCACCATCACATTACAGATATATTATTAATATTTTTATTTATTTATTTATTTGTTTATATTTATTTATTTATATTTTATTTATTTTTTTTTTATTTTTGTTTCACTACTACTACTATTTAATGAGTTTTCCAAACAGACCATGACCCTAAGCACACTGCCAAATTAGGCAAAATGTGCTTTAAGGACAACAGAGTGAATGTTTTGGAGTGGCCATCACAAAGCCCTGACCTCAATCCTGTAGAGAATGTGTGGCCAGAGTTGAAAAAGCTTGTGCAGCAATTTTGTCAGGAGGAATGGGCCAAAATTCCTGCAAACTATTGTGAGAAGCTTGTGGAAGGAGACCCAAAAAAACATTTGACCAAATAATTCCTTAAAATACCAAGGAAATGTGTGTAAACTATTGACTTTTTCTGTCTAGAAATCAATAAAAAAAATCTCAAAAAAAATTCTCAGATTATTCCGGAATTTAGCAAATGTAAATCATTGAGGTAATCCTAACAGACCTGAAATATTAAACCTTTAGTATGATTTACCATCAGACATAAAAATAAATAAAAATAATTGGTTATGTTCCTCTTTTTAGAGTGCATGTAAACTTCTGGTTTCAATTGTGTGTATATATATATATATATACTAAAAATATTTTTTTTTTCAAAATACAGCACATTCAAACAACTAAAATGAGCTGAAACAACACAACACTTGAGATTTCATTGGGACAACTTAATTGTTTTATGTTTAATCCACATAAATTTGTCTAAAGTGTTGAGCTAACTTAATCAATTTGTGCTGGGACAACGTGAATGAATTGTGTGGAACCCTGCATTCTTTGTATGCACGTTTCTCCAATATTTCGCAAATGATGTTCAGGAATGTTTCACAGTAATATTTGTTCTTCTGGAGAAAGTCTTACATGCTTTATTTCAGCTAGAATAAAATCAGTTCTTAATATTTTAAACCCATTGTATGGTTAATATTATTGGCCCCTTCAGCAATATTTGTCTGTTATACAATGACTTGCCTAATTAAGGTAGTTAAGCCTTTTAATGTGACTTCAAACTCAGTACTAACATCATAAACATAATCTAGTAAAATATTATGTGCTGTCATCATGGCAAAGACAAAAAAAAAGTTATTAATTAGTTAATAAAACTATTATGTTTATGAAATTAAAGCTGAGCTCTTATGGGACACTCACCGCTCCAGCACACTGCAAACGGGGCAATAAAATCCAAAGCACCAGCAGAAGCAGAAACTCTCGACGAGTCACAACTGGAGGAAACACATAAAAATCCAAGCAGGACATTTCTGTACGAGTCGTTCTGTGGCAGCTTTCACCGGGAATTAAATCTCCTGATGATCCGACACAGTGTTTGTCCTCGCGGGAATCCCCCATTATCTCGCCGAAGATGACGCCTCTTGAGCGGCAGAACCCAGGAGAAAGTGCCGCGGTCACACCTGGAGGACCAAACCCAGCGCGAGCCCATGATGATGTAATGCCGATCCGCATGCTTTGATGTCGGAGTGTCGTCAATGGCAACCGGATCAATCAGTCCACCCACCCGTGATGAGAGAGGCGCGTGTGTGTGTGCGTTAGTCCTATACAGACCGAAACTATGGGCATTCCTCATATTATGAGCAGAGACTGAGCGGAAAATATGAACAGCCAGCTGGTGTGTGTGTGTGTGTGTGTGTGTGTGTGTGTGTGTGTGTGTGTGTGTGTGTGTGTGTGTGTGTGTGTGTGGTTAATGAAAAACAGAGCTTATGATAACATTACATATTAAAATACCAATGTTGGATTTTAAAGGGATAGTTCACTCAAAAATGATTAATAACATAAAATAAGTTGTTATTACCCTATATATGTATATATAAAGTAATATAATTATAATATATAATGTAATCTGTATTTATTAGTGCAAATAATACTAATAACAACAGTATTTATGATTAACATTCTTCTGTTTTTAGATGATGAATAATAATAATAATAATAATAATAGTAATAATAATAAAAAGAAGAAGAAGAAATAATAATCATATTTATCAATAGTTTGCTTGGGTTTTATTCATATTATTATTATTATTATTTTATAATAAATAACAACAACAACGTTGATAATAATACATATCAATATTATTAATCATACTCATCAATAGTTTGCTTGGGTTTTATTAAGATTATTATTATTATTATTAGTAGTAATAATACTAGCATTACTATTCTACTACTATACTAGTATATTGCTAGAATTATTGTTGTTATCGATATTGTCAAATTAATAACCATTCTTTAATTATATAATAATAATACTATTAATTTTAATTTTATTGATTAACATTATTATTCTGTTTTTGGGGGTGAATAATAATAATATCAACAACAACAATAATAATAATAATAATAATCAGTATTAATAATAATACTTATCAATAGTTTGCTTGGGTTTTATTTATTTATTATTATTAGTAGTAGTAGTATTAATACTAGCATTACTTTTATACTACTATACTAATATATTGCTAATATTATAGTTGTTATTGATATTATCAAAAATATTACCATTCTTAAAGTATATAATAATAATGATGATGATGATGATGATGATGATAATAATAATAATAATAATAATAATAATATGTCCCCATTTTTCTTATAGAGTAACATTCTTCTTCTGTTTTTTTCTACAAAAAATAATAATACAATGAATAATAATAATAATAATATTAATACATACATATTGATATTATTAATAATACTATAATATTGGTAATTTCATTGATATAAACTAATAATCAGTCTTTAATTTGTATAATAATAATAATAATAATAATAAAATGTCGCCATTTTTATTATTGATTAACATCTTCTTTTGTTTTTTTATTGGGGGGGGGGTGTAAATAACAACAGCATTAATAATAATAATAATAATAATAATATCACTTGGGTTTTATTCATATTAATATTATGATTATATATATATATCAATCACAGTTATAAAGGTGGAGTTTGGGTGTGTGATCGGAGTAAAACGGGAAGAATGAAATACTCTTAAAGGCACAGGCCACCCAAACGTAAAAATTGACTCACTAAACCAGGGCTGTCCAAGCTCTGTATTGGATGGCCGGTCAGTGTCCTGTATATTTTAGTTCCAACCCCAATTAAACACACCTGAACCAGCTCGAAACTTCCAGGCAGGTGTGTTACAGGAAGTTGAAGCAAAACTATGCAGGACACCGGCCCTCCAGGACTGAATTTGGACACCCCTGCACTAAACACTCCCTCAAGTGGTGCTAAACCTTTATGAGTTTGATGAAAGCTGGAAACCACTGACTTCCATAGTACTTCAGCTTTCTTCAAAATATCTTCTTTTGTGATCAACAGAATAACTCACACAGCTTTTATAACAGTGATGACAGACGTTTCAAATTTTTGTGAACTGCCCCTTTAAATTTTAACTTCCCGCGGATTTTGAAAGACGTGTCTGATATGGTTTAGCCACACCCACTTCTCAAAACTATGAATGAATATGTGGGTCAAATGCCACAGTGTGAACATGCCAGAGTGTGACGTCATCTGATTACAGCAGTTGCGCCACAGGTGAGTGTTTAACCTATTCATTGTAGTGCTGAGGATCATCCCATCCAAAATTATGGTTTGTATATACATTATATATGTGTGTCCAAATTTGTAAGACATGACAAATCATTAACTAGAAATAAAACATGTAGGATGGGAAAGACAACAGATCAGTAGAAAAAAACAAGGAGAATAAATAGGGAGCAAATCAGACACACTTGCCAGATTTCACAACAAAAGTATCCCACTCAACCATCAAAAGTACCCCAAAACATGTCTAAAGGGCATTCAAACGGCATATATGGCATCCATATAAGCAAAAATAAATATAAATATTCTCGAAACAGATTTTTAGGGATTTTAACCAACATAATAGAAAACCACCCAGCGGACATGGATCAAAAGTAGCCCAATTCTGCAGGAAAACTGTGGACTTGGCAACCCTGAAATCAGTTGGCAACAAACAAGGAACCGGTGAACTGAATAACTAATAAAGGATAACTAGATTCATGGGGCTAAACAATTATGGAGTGAATATTGCGACAAAACTATACAAAGAAATCCAGCTGAGATGAGATGAGTTATTAACACTATTATGATTAGAAATTTGCTGAAGAAATCTGCTCTCATTTAAACAGAAATTAAGGAAAAATAAACAGGGGGGCGAATAATTCAGAATATATATATATATATATATATATATATATATATATATATATATATATATATATATATATATATATATATATATATATATATATATATATATATATATATATATATATATATATATATATATATATATATATATATATATATATATATATATATATATATATATATATATATATATATATATATATATATATATATATATATATATATATATATATATATATATATATATATATATATATATATATATATATATATA